CCGACTTTTAACTACATAATAGAAAAAGGGTTGTTCGTCAGATGTTACACTGTTTCTGTTTAAACTTTCAAAATTTAGACTTGAAATTGACACTAAAATTGACACAAGCCAATAAAGACAGAACATATTTGCAGTTTCTATTACATCATTTGAAAAAGCATACAAAACTATACTACACTCTACAAAAACGTATATTACAAAACGAAAAAGGGTTCTTGCATTTGCTACTATGCCAAACGCATGTGCGTTTTGCATTTAGAGTGCCAAAGCCCCTTCCGTTTTTTAAAACACTGTTCTAACACAGTTAATGGAAAAACGGATAAGAGTTTGCTATATGTACATTGTTAGTTTTATACTCAATTTCGAAACCTCCTATAGTACTTCATAATACGCCTAAACGCGTTCGAAGCACTATTTGCAGAATTTTTTGCGCTCTGCAAAATCGCAATGTGTTTCGGTTACCCACAAGTACAAAAACCCTAGTGTTTTGTGCAATGCAATCAAGCAAAACCTTCAACTTTCTTTTCTAAACAGAAAGTCGTGTTTATAATCACTGAGAAAGAAGCATTTTCTTGAGTTGGTAGTCCGCGAAATTCTGATCAAAATGAGCGTCCTTCAGTTCTACAGGACCTTGCTTTGCAAAAATGAATCCACAAAAATTCGTCCAAGCATAGTATATAAGTGTATACTGCATAGATGCCTCGTTTCACTGTACTAGCTTATCTCAGAAACGACTGATTTCCTGCGATAGTGGATCGGTCCAGCAGATCAGGCGTGTTTCCAAAGTATAGTGCGTTCAAACTGAGCAAAATATTATCTGGAAATCTTTTCAAATTTTGTTTTTCCATCTAACAAAAAAAACATACGAAAAATTCGTTCAGAGAAAAAAGCGTCTAGTAAAAAAATATATCAAGATGTGACAAAAAAACCGCCCACTAAAAAGCGTCAACTTTTGAACGCTTTTTTTTACCGTGTAGGTTTGGTGAAAAACGCGATTTATCAGTTAGAGTACTTCTCTCGTGAGTGACTTCCAAACCGATTGGGTATTTCAAGACAAATTAATACTCAGAGATTCGGCGTATTGCTGCAAATGATTGGGTTTTTCAGTGATTCTTAGAAATTGGGAAAATAACGAAAAACTGTATTGGTACCTTCAGTTGATCTAAAATTTCTGACCGTATTCTACAATACCTCAAGTTTAGAAATACGGTTTAGAAGCTTTAAAAATCAACAGAAAATACTCTGATTTTTGGAAAGGTTTTCTAGAAATTTTTCGGAATACAAAAATGTTTTTACTATTGTCAAGTAAAAAATCGGATTGAGAACTGCATAGTATTAAGCAGGTGAAATAGAGTACACAAGAGTATTCTGGCTTAATCTTGACTGGATTGTGAATGTTTTAACATTAGTTGAAAATAGGCAAAACCGGGTTATTTCACCTAATTTAGGTTTTCACCAGGTTTTTGAAAGTATTTTGAAAAACAAATATCGCCATGAGATTCAGCGGGGTCGGTTACCTATGTGTGCATTTATTTTCGGAATTATCACACCTAAAGAAATATTGATCCTGGGACTCTCAGGAAATCCGATGCCGCGCATGAACTAGGAAAAATTAAGAGTTAGCTTAGTTCCCATTTGGAGAGGACACTTTGGACTATCTATCTATAACAGCAAACTGATGATTTTCTAGAATTTACGTAATTTTTGATGAATTTACGTGAATTTGAGTGAATTCAGGTGAATTTTGAATTTGTTTGAATTTAACGGACTAAATTCAACTATTTTCCCCCTGATCTAAACTCAATTTCGAGAAACTCTTCCTTCATGGCGGAAGATTTAAAATGCGCTGCCAGGTGAAATTTACAATCTTTATTGAGAAACAAAATGTACAATGTTCAGCAACTTTCTTCTTGTAACACTTTGAATCTTTAAATTATAACCGCAAAAGTTTCTTTATATACAAGAAAAGAGGAATCGAATGGAAAAACTATAGACGAGTAAAACATATCGTTGAGAAATCATAGTTTAGAGAAAGAGAAGTTAATGAGTGGGCGAACAATTTTTGTAATCATGTATATGTTGATTAAATATTTCAGAAGTAAAAGAAAACCACTGGAACAAAGTCATGTAACTTTCTTGTTCATGTAGCATCATTGTCTATTGCCGGCGGAAAGGAGAGGGGGCCGTTTTGTGATGAAATTGGCTCGTTAACCGAATTCAGTTTTATTCATAGGGTGGGTACGAAGAGCTGGATTCAGAAAAATGACCGGCAACTAAGACAGTTATCACAAAAATACACACATGTTTTCAGCAGCTGGCTCATCTTCCAAAACCAATACTGGAATTCATTTTAATATTTTTTGAATAATTCTCACAATATAAAAGGTTTTATTAACTAACTGTCTTCCGAAAGGCAGTTTGACTGATCGGTGTCACAACAAATAACGAGGGAAAAAAAGGAAAGAAAACAACTGTTAATGTATTCCCTATTTTTTGTCATTCCCTCGTCCGTCGTCTGTTGGGACAGCATTGATACCGAACTTTTTTTCTGTGAATGAAAAAAATGCATTTTCTCTTTCTAATAAACAACAATAACAGATAGAAACATGCGGTTTTCACCATTGTACAGCCAAGACTTTAAGACATAAAAATCCAATACATTCGAATCCGGACACCACCTTCGGCTGGTGAACCAGAACAAATAGTTAAAGTTTTACCAATATAAATTTCGAACATTAAAAAAAGAAACTGAAGTACGTTCTTAGAGGGCATACACTAATATAGATAGACAACACTGACGTTTTTCATCTCGGTCTCGGCAAACCACATTTATTTGTTCCAGTCGTGCTCTTGCCCATTCCTAACCACCATTCACAACTGATTTGACTGCACATCAACCGAATAACTTTCCTATCACCATACATAACACAAAACTCGTTGCTTGAAACCCCACTTAGATAGCAATGTATTCTTTCTTCTCCTTAGCTTCATCAAATGCAACATATTCGAGTAACAGTACTTTAACAAGTTTTATTTCTCGTCCCAATGCATCAGTATGTCTACTTGATCTTTCATCATCATCTACTAATCAAATACTGCTGCATTTTTTTGATCCATTGAATACGACAACACAACAATACAATAATACATTTATTGCTAATTCAACTTGGACAACATTAACAATTTCATTACGTAGTGATGCTAGTTACTGGTATTTATATGCTGTGTATATTTATGATCAAACACAAATAACAGGTCAGAATATATTATTAAATGGCGATTATGGTACTGGTACATTATATGGTTGGACTATAACGCCTTCTACGAATCCAACAATTAGCCCTGGTTCTTATGTGGTTTGGACGGGTAGTGAAATTCTTTGTCAAACATTTCCAACTGTAATCGGTAATACATATTTAATTCGATATTCAATGTGGTCTCTCAGTACAACGCCATATATAATTGCTGCTGTTACAGTTGGTCCATATCCATTGCAAAC